ATTGCAATTTTAAAAAAATGTACATTTTGAAATCCCATTCTCCCCTGTCTTTAGAAGGTAAAAGCACTTTAGGCGTCCCTCTCATGGCAGCTCCCAGCCTACCTCTCTATAAAAGTTTTGCAGTTCAGTATATTTGTATTTTATCCTAGCTTGGGGCTCCCCAGAGTATGAAGTTGTAAGTGGAACACAGCCTTCCTAGAGCCATCACATGGTATCCTAATGAATGCATGCTGACTAGGAAGAGTCCTTCTGTGTATACACAAGTGATGTGGCCGAGGGGACATCTAGAAGTCATGTCTGAGCTCTGACCTGCAGGGTCACCACCCGCGCACCCCTGCCACTTCACACGGTGCCACTTGTTTTGATGGGCTGAGGTGGGTTGGGGAAGGGCCAGACACAGTGTCTGCCATCCGCTAGCACCGGCCCTGCTGCCAAACACCCACTCCTTTTCCCCCTGTCCTCCCCACCAAAAAGCGCTGCAGGCAAAGCTCCAGCTCGCGAAACGTGGCCTCTTTGAAGTGCCGGATGAGTGTCCCTGCAGCTGTCGCTCTGTATCTGGTGGCACTTCTCCTGCTGCCAGAGCTTCATAGAGGCTTCGCGTCCCTTTCCTCAGAAACCTGTACATGTAAATTCAGTTTTACTTTATTTTATTATTTTTAAACTTATTTATTTATTTGAGAGAGAGAGAGAGAGCACAAGCAGGGGGAGCGGCAGGCAGAGGGAGAGAGAACAGACTCCCCACCCCGCAGGGAGCCCCACGCGGGACTCGATCCCAGGACCCCAGGCCCACGACCCGGAGCCCAAGGCAGATGCCCAACCAACTGAGCCACCCAGGCGCCCGTAAATTCAGTTTTCAACAGGATTTTTTTAACAGTTGGTCTCAGGAGTCTCTTTGGGGTGGGGGGAGGTGCTGGCACTGGTGGAGGGAGATCCGTGCCCTTGAAAATTGGATTCTTTTTTGGAAAACTGCTAGCACGGGCTCGTGGGCAGGGAGCTAAGTGACCCACCGTTCTACCTGTTGACCCGCTAAGCCTTGGGACGGTGCTGAGAGTAGCTCTCGCCACAGGGCAGGGGCAGGCCTTCCTCTCCCTTTCACACAGACGGGGTCATTTTGTGCGTGTCCAGTACTACGGTGTCGTAGTACAAAGAGCCCGTAAACAGAAGCCCACCCACCCCTCCAGTGCTGAGCAAAATCACTCGAGGGTAAGTTAAAAGGCGATCTCCCTGACAAAGGCTGGTTTTAAAACCCTTGCGTCATCTGTGTTCTTTGGGAAATGCCGACAGACCGGCCGTCGGAGCTCAGGAGAGGGAGTCATCCAGAGAAGAGGGGCCAGCCGGGGACCCGGCAGCGCAGCCCCCGCGGCCTCTGGGTGCCTGGCCTTCCTTAGCGGGAGGAGGCTTTGGCAGGGTGCGGGAAACGAGGCTGTGCGTTTCCATTCCTGCCGTCCGGTGCAGCTCTCCGTGGGGAAAGGAGGATTCCCGGCCCACTCTGTTATAAATGCACGGCTGGCAAGGGCCATAGCGATCTCACTGCCTTGGGATTGGGGCTCAGCCCCGCCTCGGCGGCCGGCAGAGTGGGCCCCCCACTCCGGGGCACCACACTGTGGCCACGCGGTTGTGGGGAGCTGCAAAAGAGAAGATCCCTGCCTAAGACACCATTGCACTTCCTATCCCAGAGACCCGGCATTGTTCACTGTGCCACATCTCTACTCTAAATTTAGGCATCTTTTTTTTTTTTTTTCCAGGCAAAGAGTACTATGCAAACATTTAAGAGAAAAACTTTGCCCAAAGTAATTTTTTCCCTCGACTTCTATTTGGTTTCCTGCAATGTTTAGATGACTCATTCTCTTCCAAGAAATTTTAAAGAAAAGAGATGCAGGCTGTGTGATAGTGCACAAAGCCTGCTCTGTAAATTCTCTTTTTCTTCCCTGCCTAGAAAACCCACTGCTTTTTTTTTTTTTTTAACAGGGAACGGAAAGGCCCTGCAGACTTCATTGTCAGGGACTCGGCCTCATCAGGTTTTGTTGTTCCCAGGATTAAATGTCCCTTTTGTTTTTGGGCGGGGCCCCCTTATAGCCTCGCAGCTCTGACAGCTCTGGAAGGCAGAGTGGACTGCACGGAAGCCCTTCCTGGCTTGCTGGGCCGCGCTTGCCCCCAGAGACGCACAGTTAAGGTTTCTGAACTAGAGAAACGGTAGCCTTTTAGCATCTATGAAAGGAGAGGGAGGCCCTGGCCATTTCCTGCCTCTCTCCCGGTGGCAGCCTTGTTCCTGTTTGCTGGGGGCTTCGTGGGGGCGCTGTAGCTGGGAGAGCCTCACATGTGTTCCCAGCCCAGGCCTCAGCCACAGGGAGCCGTAAGTCAGAATCGCTTCAGCAGCCTGTTCAAATAAACAGGGATAATAGTTGAGTCGGTCCTTTTCCAGCTAATCGGTACACGAAAGGAAACATCTGCCTGGGCTTAATTGCTTTTTTATTGGTTATGCTTTTTCTCCTCCTCCCTTCCCCTCCCCCCTCCTCCTGCGGCTAAGTTATTTAAGTCCTGGGTAAGCAACAGGGTAGAGGAATGGGAGCCTTCTCCTGGAACCTCCGCCATTTAAACACAAGGAGGTGGGAAGGGAGGATGGGAGGCTGGCAGGGGAGTTGACCTGGAGGCCGGAGGGCAGGGCACTTGGAAGTGATACTCGTGGTCACTTCCTGGCCTTGTTGCTGACTCTGGGGCTGGCTGGTGAGTCATTTTGCCTCACTTCACCTCCTTAGATCTCTGCTGCTTCAGTGGAGCTCAGCTCTCCTCATGATGGGAAGGAGAAGCTGGTATGTGAGACTCTAGATGAAAAGCATTTCCTCTTGTGGCTTCTTCCAGTGGTTGAGGGCATTGAATGAGAGACATTTGGGAACGGTAAATTTAAGACTGGCAAGATACCCTGAAGCCATCTATTTTGTAGGGCATCTCGGTCCCCGAGGAGAACTTACTCATTATCTGCTACTTTGGGAAGTGAAGCCAACCAACTGTACACTGAAGTGGGTGGTGGTTGCATCTAATATGGACTCAAGAAGCCAGGCAGAATATCATGAAGAATCATAGAATGCCAGAGGTTAGGAGGGGCCTGAGGAATGTGTTAGCCTTTCATTTTATGGAAAAGAAAACAGAGGCCCAGAGAGAAGAATCGAGCTGTTCAAAGTTAATCTTCTTGATGGTGGAGGAGCCAGGGATAGGAGACTTGTGTGATTGCCCCTTCAGGGCTCCTCCCACCCACTTCCACACTACCAGGTGTAAAAAGTCCTGTCTCCGCACAACAAAGGTCACACAGATGTTGTGTTCCATAATTAATTCCGTAAGAGAAAAAGGCAAAGCATTTAAGAGAAGGAAAATGCCTGAGGAACATGGAAAACAAGAAGAAGTTCAGGCTCACTACAGCTAGTGGGCTGCAGAGGGTATCATGCTGAATCATCAAGAGAAAAAGTGACTCAACATGCTTCTAGGCTTCTGGTGGTATTTTTCATTGGTACAGTTTTTCTCAAGGACAAGTTAATGGCATAAATGAATAGTCTTTGACTCAGCAATGTGACTTCTAGGAGAAAATGGGGAAAGGTGTGTGCATAGGTGATAGACCAAGTAATTTAATACAGCATGTTTTATCATAAAAATTTGTAAACAAAGTAGATGTGCAAGAATAGGAGCTACAGCAATATCATCTTTCATAATGTTCTAGAAGAATAATATGGAGGGAACTGTTCACAAACATTTGTTTAAGTGAGTAAGTTACAGTGTGTATAATGCAACCCCAATTTCATGAAAATCACATGGGAAAATCACATCACATACGAGATAAAGTGTCGAGTGGTGATTTCTTAGTGGTAGGAATTAAAAGTTACTTTTTCTTTTGGGATGTTTTCTACAGTTTTCTTGGGTTTTTTGTTTTTTGGTTTGTTTGTTTTTCTTTTTCTGGTTTCTTATGAATTACAATAAACGTATATTCCTTTTGTAATCAGAAAAAAAATAGTTTCAAAGTCATACATCTTGAATAAAGCAGGATCGTAAATGATTATGTTTCTGACATGTGAGACCTCTTTCCTTCTTCCCCTGGGAGCAGAGCTGTGCCGGGGTAGTATTCCACCTTCTGGTAGAAGGGCATTGTTGGTATCTGACAGGTAGGAAAGAACTAGAAGGAGCTAGCGGAAGATAAAACGGGGGCTTCCCCTCTCGATGACCCAGTGATGCCAGTCAGTTTTATCCCCTGCTCTCTTGGGCTTGGCATAAAACACTCAGTATAGAAGGTGCGACTCTTTTCTCCTTCCTGCTTCTTCATTCTTCTTTATTTCTACTGTTCCGTCTGTGTAGTTAGATGCCAGCCCTGGGTGGTAGCAGCAAAGAACCCGAGAGCCACTACTGCTTAGGATTAACAGGTTGGAGACCCCTTCACATGTATTATCCGAAGCCGGTAACATTAGCTAATCTCCAAACCAGTCATTATTGGGGTACCACTGCCCTGGGAGTTTGGGGCAGAAAGAAATCAAGTAAGACCTTTATACCTCCTTTCTGCTTGGAGGTTCCTATTTGGTGTGGTACTTTGAAGTCCTTGGATGTTTATGTTCTTCTTTCTATGGCATCCTAATCCACGTCTGACTTTCCTCCACAATTCTCAAGAAGGCTCAAGTGCAAGTGTCCAAGAAAGCCTACTCCGCCTAACAACAGTTGCTAGGTAGGATGTGGCTTTCCAGCCTGCTCTTCGGGGACCAGTGGAAAAATCAAAGCCTACACCCGTTTGCCCTCCACCCGATTGCCTGAGCTAGGCTATAGAAGGGGCACATTTCATTTTATTAAAACTCTTTGAGTAATCTGACCATAATTGGGTCTGATCGGAGTGCTTATCTGATTTGCTGGATTAAATAATGGGCCTTAATTGAGTCTGTTAGTTATAGAGCCAATGCTACTCTTGCCTTCGTCGCCCCCTCCTCCCCCCTTCTGTTTCCCGATTAACCTCCATTCCTCTTTCCTTGCAGAGTAAAGAAGTCGGCCAGCAGCTCCAAGATGATTTGATGAAGGTCCTGAATGAGCTCTACTCGGTAAATCAGATGGGTGCCTGGCCCTTTAACAAGCAGAGGGAAGCAGCATTTGGCAGCTTGTGGCCGTAGTCACATCAGCAACAGAACTGAGCTGAGGTTGAGGACAGTGCATGGTCCCCATTGGGGGTGACTCCACCCATTTCTTTTCTTCACACTCTTATTTTCAAATCTGCATTGCACCATTAATATGTGCCTGCCAGGAAGGACTTAATGTTCAAGGTTTCACATCAGTTCTTGGATTGATCTACGGGTTTGCGACAAGAGCGGGTACCCTAGAGGGAAGCACAAAGTCCTAAATGCCCCTGACCGAAGGGGCCAATTCAGGCAGAGAGAGCTTGGCATCGACTCCCTGGGTTTTTAAAAATTTTTTTTTTTAAGATTTTATTTATTTGCGAGAGAGAGAATGAGAGACAGAGAGCATGAGAGGGAGGAGGGTCAGAGGGAGAAGCAGACTCCCTGCTGAGCAGGGAGCCTGACGCGGGACTCGATCCCGGGACTCCGGGATCATGACCTGAGCCGAAGGCAGTTGCTTAACCAACTGAGCCACCCAGGCGCCCCTCTCCCTGGGTTTTTAAAAGGCTGAACCTCAGTGAAGAGGCAGGCTTCAGGTTTGGAGAAGAAAATACAATCTGTTTTGAAATGGCTGGCGCTTGAGGCACGTGATGCCCATGACTGATGCATGTTTTTTCATGCACTGGAAGGAGGTGGTGGTGGTGGTTTTCTACCCAGCCAGGTTTTGTTAATTATAATTAAAACACATATGCACATCGAGGAAATTCCTGCTGCCGTACAGAGACTATTTCAGTTGTTAGCTAAAGCCTTTCAGGGCCCCCGTCTTCAGCGGGGCTGTGCCCGGCCTTTGTGTCATTCTCTAGGGTTTCCCATCCTGTTCTGGTGGTGAAATTGATTTCCTGTGTTTACTTGTTTATTCACTGCATTTCTTTCCTTCCTCCCTCCCTCCCTTCCTCCCTCCCTCCCTTCCTTCCTTCTTTCCTTCTTTTCTTCCTTCCTTCCCTCTCTCTCTTTCTTTCTTCACAGGAAGACAGGCAGTGGTGACATGCATCACAGGCATTTGGGATCAGAGAATTCCATGTTCTTGATCCAAAAGCCTAGGTGTGGCTCTTTTGTCATGGCAACTATTAAGCAAGTAAATAGGGTAGAGTAGTCGTCAGACTGGTCTCCAGTGACGCTCGTTTGTTTGGACTTTCTGCTCTGTGACTCTTCTGCTCTGAAGCCAAGTAGATAGATGGTACTCTTTGGTTCAACTCCCAAACTTTCATTTCTTTCAAGTGCAGTTAAGGCTTTTTATAAAAATAGAAGCGTGTTGATGTGAACCGTTTACAGACTAGATGCGTGTTCCCTGAACCCTGTTGTCTTTTTATGCTTTACGTCTGCACTTTATTTTTAGAGCATCTTCTAGGCACCAAGAAGAGCTACTACTCCCTTTTCCTGGCAAAGAATTCACCAAGATAGACTATGACACATGAAGCCATTATATGAATCCTTTTATTTTCCCCGTAAGCATCGCAGGCCTCTGCTATTTGCTCTTTCTGGGGAGGAGTAGAAGGGATAACCAGCAAACCCCAAACCAGCTCAAACCCAGTTTGCCACTTTTGCTGTGGGACTTGAGGTAGCGACAAAAGAACAGCTCCTAGGGATCTGTTAGCTTTGCTCAGAGCCCCAGATCTCCTATTATGCTATGATTTTTAAAAAAATCAGTAAGTGAGAGGGTATAGCTTGTGCGGGAGTGAGGAAGAAAACTGGAACTTGCTGCTCTGGTTTGAAGAGGGCTGAACTGGCGAGTCGGACTGCAGTCTTCAGGCAGTCCAACATCGGCCAGTGCTTTCCTGCTGACGCAGAGCATGAAATCTTCCTGCTGGCGTATACAAACTGAGAATTGGCTGGGCATGGAGTCCCCTGCCAGGAGGTGAATGGGTAGACCCTCTTTTTATTTTTATTTTTGTTCTGTTTTATTGTTGTGTCGTTGACACACAGTGTTATGATGGTTTCAGGCACACAACATAGTGATTCAACAAGTCTCTACATTATGCTGTGCTCACGAGCCCACCTACCATTCGTCACCATACAATGCTATTACAATACCACTGAGTATATTCCTGTTGCTGTATCTTTTATCCCTGGATACACACTCTTTTAATTTGTCCAAGGCCAAAATACAAATTTAATTTGACCCAGGTCTCCCCACAACTTCATGTACTGGTATCTCCAGTCACACTTCCTAAAATATCTGACAGTAGTTAAGGGTCAAGTGAGTTTGCAGATTCTATAGGCCATTAGAATCTAGTTCAGAGGATAGAATTGACTTGTTTCTTCTGTAGGGTGAGATGAGTGTAGGACTGGTCTCAGTAAGGCACCATGGCATGGGGGTGGCTGACTATCCCAGTTTGCCTAGAACTGAAGGGTTTTGGGGGCGCATGAGACTCTGAGTGCTACACCTAGGAAAGTCCTTTGGTAAGCCAGGACAACTGGTCATTCTACACTGGACAGTGGTTTCAGCAAGCAGGAACCTGGCACTATTATATGCTGGCTTTGGGAAGCTACTTGCTGAATGTCCTCTCTCCTCCTCTCTCTCAGAGAAGTTAAGAAGAGAACAAGGGAGATCTTTTTATAAGGAGCTTTCACCTTATTGCTTTCTGGGAAGGCAAAAGGGCCTCTTGCTTCAGTGACCCTGTGGACAATAGAAGTTATCTGTGCGATGGAATAAAGGAAGCCAAGGATATAAGGAACCCACCATGTTCAGTGTTCTCCTTAGCTTGTGTCTCCCCTAATGCTCAAAATATTTCTTTTTGGGAGACTGATTACCCAAGGGTTGATAATGTAAGTACTTTTGAATCTTGATGATCCAAGGGGCAGAGCCTCCATGTTCCCGAATGAAGATGCCTTCGGGCAAGAGGCCCAGATTCACACCATATGTGGCCAGCTGCCCCTCTGTACCTTCCTCTTTTCTGCCTGAAGGACCTTTGATTTTCCTGATTTGGCATTCTGTGCCAGGGGCTGCTTCCCCCAGCTGCCATTCAGAGAGCAACCCTCATGAGCATTCTCCTCCATGTGTTTTTCCCCCCATAATGAGCTGGCTAGTTGGTAGGCCATGGCATAAGTGGTTTTCATTTTCCAGCTGGTGATCCAGGAATGCCTTTGAAGTTGGAGCACGCTGCTTCCCAAAGACCTCTGGCATTCTCTGCCTCAGTTGTACTCAGAGTTTGTATCTGAGAAAGCCCAGCAAGTACCTACAGGAAGGAGAGTCTGTGGGGGCACAGAAGCCACATGGATTGGCTAAGTAGGAACAGTCAAGTAAGCCCTAGAATTGAGAAAGAAAGAAGAGGTGTTGCAATGCTGGGGTGTGGTTTTATGGTCCCGTACTCCCCCTGGATATATGGCTCCTTGATTGGGCACAGCAGCTGTCTGCTGACGGGGCTACTGTAGGCTGGTATTTAGTACCTGCTCCCTTGAGACAGCGTCAGTGTGTAGTCACCCCGCTTTGCCTGCCTGTTTGTCTCCGGCCCTAGGCACCAGGGCTACAAAGACAAGTAAGACGTGTCTCTGAACTCAAGGCATTTAGTTTTAATAGAAGAGACAGAAAAGTAGAACAGCAAGTAAAGTATGAGGTGATAACATTTACATGTCTTCCCAGAGGAAGGGCATGAAGTCAGGCTCCTTAGAGAGAGATTTGAATTGAATCTTAATTGCCAAGAGCTCTTTTATTGTTCTCTAAATGTTCCTTTTTCGTTGTTTTCTGTTCTTGTTTCATGATTCAATGTCTTTGCATTTTTCATTGATCTCTCTAGGGATATTATTGATTGCTTTTGAAGTTTTCTTCTTTCTGTACACTTTCTATTCCGTCTAAATTGCTTGTTTTGGTCTTGGCCTTTCATATCAGATATTTTCCTTAAATGTTTGGTAACCTTTAGCTGCCTTTTCATATTTTAAAGTGAGGCATTGAAAAGCTGGTTGGAAGTTCTGTGCCAACTGTGGTCTTGACTGTAGGGTGGTCTGACTGGTGTTTCCTTGGGGAAGCCCTGATATCAGTACTTCTAGGTCTTTTATCTTGGCTAGTCAGATTCCGCAGGCAAGGCTCTTCTGACCTCCTGCCTATGTCTGGGGCCTGAGTTGTGAAGAGGCCAGGGCCATCACAACATTCAGTATAGAACTTTCTGTTGATCTTCCTATATTAAGTTCAGTACCCCTATCCTCAGCTGAGCCCCACTGTCCCCAATCCATAGGTCCTCTAGAAGAGACTATGCCTCTAGTCCTCCACTGTGGAGGGGGCGGGGATGGGATCTGGTCGTCCAACAATTCTTAGGCTTTCAGTAGTTTCTCTTGTTTTAGCTCCACCTTCATCCCACTGCCACCAGTTCCTCTTAGGGCTTCTGTGATGTAAGTCTGGTTGCTTCTTGGCTCTGCCTTCTTTTGGTTTAGGGTTTGGTAGATAATTCACTACTTGCCTCCCTGCTTTTTATGTGCTGCTTTCATTCTGTTTTTCTTCAGTTTATATCTAAGAAATAATAATAATAATAAAAACTCTTTTCTATTATTTTAGTGTGGCTTGGGGATAGAGCAGAGCTAATGGCATGAATTAAGATTTCCTTTTTTGAAGTAAAGTGAATTCTCTTTGTAGAACTGAGAATTTAGACTCCTGAGTTTTTCCCCTAGTTTATATTTCCCTCACTATATATATATATATATATCTATATATATCTATATATATATATATATATCTCTGCAAGTTCTGTCTTGACTTTCCTATTTTTCCAGTTGTTTTGGCATCACTTATTTAAGTTTTGGCATCTGGATACCTCAGTTTTTCCTTGAGCTGAAGGATACTAGCGATACTTCTTCCGTATTTTCACAGAGGAGAGATTTGTTGTCACTAAGTCATTTGGGCAACCACATTGATTGTAGAATTACCAACTGTGGACATGACACATTTCCCAACTGTGGAGAAGGGAAGAAAACACAAAAGAAGAAGTGGTGCTTACCCTTAGGAATTCATAGTTTCTTAGACAAGGTAGTGTTTTACTTTTTTAAAGAGAGTTCTTTAGTGGAAAGGAGCAATATAAATCACTAATTTTTATTACTTCGTTGTTGTCTTCTTTGCATTATTCCTTTGAGTCCTTTTTTGTCTCATATTCATTCATAGTGTTTCTTTATCTATTATGCATCTTCATGAAATGGAAAATCACTTTCTTAATAATCATCATTTTTATAACTCTTCGTTCAAGCTTTTGAATCCATATTCAGGTGAAAAGAAAGAAAAAGTAGTCTCCCAAATACCCTTCTTCAGCCTGGAAAACAGATGCCTCTTCCTCACTTCTGAGTCACCCTGGAATCTGGAGGACCCTTTCTAATTACTTAGAAAGGTTTTTAATGCTACCAGTTATTAAATATCATTTCTCCAGTGTAGAGAATGTACAGAGTTGATCGTATACTTATGGGAAATGATGTCAGGTTGAAAATAAGGTGAAGCTGATTTAAAGCGTTCTGTATCCAAAATAAGATGTTTAAACTCTAATGAACTTTGATTTTGTCGATGTCCCAATATTCTTTATTCTTTCCACCACCTCTCGCTGATCCTAAGGGATGAGTACACCCATAAGGTCCTTCCAGGATTTCTCAACTTCAGCACCATGGACATTTTGGGTAGACAGCTTTGTGGTGGGGGCTGTCTTGTGCACTGGGTGGTTAGCAGCCTCCCTGGCTTCTACCCACTCGATGCCAGGAGCAAGCTTCCAAGTTGTGACAGTAAAAAATGTCTCCAGATTAGCCCCCTGGTTAGGACCACAAAGCCATTAATAAAACTAGTTCCTCTTTTCAAACCGGTCTTGACTAAACCTAACCTTTCCTCCCAACTAGCCCAGCTGTGGTCCTATTCAGAGGAAGAACTGGTGCTTAGTGGCTCAGAATGTGGACTTTGTGGTCTGACAAACCTAGGTTTGAATCCTGATTCTGCCATGTACTAGCTATGTGATGTTGGGTAGGATAGTTTAATCTCGTTGAGCCTCAGTTTCCCCATCTTTAAAAGTGGAGATAATCACATGTCTTCTATAGAGGAGTTGTGAGGATTCATTGAGGCGACCCGCATAAAACCTCTGACACACAGCACGTACTAAGTAAGTGGTGGAGATTGTTATCAATATTATGCCTTACTTCCCTCTGTTGTTCAGTCTGCACCCTGCCCCCCCCCACATGCACCCAACTCCCACACTCTCTCCCTCTCAAAGATACTGCACGACATTAAAATGTAAGCACTCTTGAACTTCAGCTCGCTTAGTTGTAATCAGCATTTTTGATTCCCAGACAGAAGCTAGAGGCTCCCTGTGTGGAAATGGAGGGAAGAGCAGGCACCTTGTGGTTGGAAGTGTGTTTGGGAGGAAACACACACAAGTTCTAGGCTGCCCGGCCTCCTCGTTAAGAAAAGAGATTGAACTCTCAGACAGTGGCTTTGGTGGGAAATTTGAGAATTGTCTTTTTCTCCTTGAACACTACTTCCTTCCCATGGCAACTCTAGTTTCACCTGATGTGGGTTTTATTCCTTCTTAGGCTCTTAACGTGAATTGTTGTGTGGGCTAACAGTCTTCATCAGGTCGTTTTCTAGATCCCAGGGCTGCTGTAAGGATGAAATGAGAAATTGCCTGGGTAGCACTTGGCACAAAGCCAAGCATATACTACATGCTCAAGAAACAGCTACTGTTGTTACTGCCACTGCTGTTCTAGTTAGTTCCCAGGAGAGAGGGTGTTCGATCCGCGTGAAGCGGGCCAGACGGACCCCTAGAATGCTAGGGCAGTAGAAAGAGCTTTTGGAGCCTTTCTTCTTCCCCGTTTTGTATCTGAAAGGTCCAAAATGTATCGACTACTCCGCAGGCTGTGCTGGCCTCCTCAGGGTTCCTAACCTTGTGTACTCTGGCTGAGCGATAGAAATTACTTAGCCGGTATAAAAGAGTCATGCTTACAAGTGTTGATAAATAGAAGTAAATAATGCATGATGGAAGACGTGAAGTCATTTTAAGAATAAGTCATATTGGCTCCGTTCAAATGCTGCTTTCCTGTGCTTTGGGGTGGTCTTTAATATGCAGTGTTGGCTGAACCAAACACTTAAGAAGTTTTCCCTTAAGGGCATGAAGATAGTGCTTCACGTGGGACAGGTCCAGCTGAATCTGGTAGTCTGTAAAGCAGAGAATTGACCCTATTGGCTTGACCTCTGGGGGCGGGGGCGGGGGGTGTCTTGCAGGTCATGAAGACCTATCACATGTACAATGCCGACAGCATCAGTGCTCAGAGCAAGCTAAAGGAGGCAGAGAAGCAGGAGGAGAAGCAATTTGGAAAATCGGTAAAGCAGGAAGACCGGCAGACCCCACGCTCCCCTGACTCCTCGTCCAATGTCCGCATTGAAGAGAAGCATGTCCGGAGGAGCTCAGTGAAGAAGATTGAGAAGATGAAGGAGAAGGTATGGATGCTTCAGCATCTTGAGGGGCTGGGGAGGAGCACTGTGGAAGTCAGGATTGATAGGAGTTTTCCAGTAGGTGCTATGGAGAGCAGAACAAAGAGACTCATTCCTTTAGTGCCTAATGGCCAGAAGTGAGTCTTTGCTGTCTGCCCTGGAAGAAATTCTAGGTACTGGAAGAACGTGGGCATGGGGGCTCCAAGTTTTTCACCTGTAGCAGGTTCATCAGAAACAATAGAAACCTTTCCCAAGCCTGGGAGAGGGACTGCAGACCCAGGGCTTGGCATCAGATGTCCCGTATTCAGGGGCAGATGTAGTGACACCTTCTTTCGGGTGGCGGTACAAGGATGGAGAACAGTGTTTGTGGGTAGAACCAAAGTGGGACATGCATCGAAAGTAGGGAACCTCATTAACCTTTCCTGGATTGATCTACATTATGCCCTTGAATCTCATTAAACAGAATTAGAACCCAATTTAAGGCAGACGCGCACAGGGAGTAGCAGCACAATTGTGGTTCTCGAATGTACTGTACTTTCATCTTTTAGAGCACAATCTCCCCTTTTAAAAAAAAAGTAGAACTGAACTTCTGTTCCCTTTTCAGCGCCAAGCCAAGTACACAGAGAATAAGTTGAAGGCCATTAAAGCCCGGAATGAGTACTTACTGGCTCTGGAGGCAACCAATGCATCTGTCTTCAAGTACTACATCCACGACCTGTCCGACCTTATTGATGTAAGTGCTTAGAGCTGGGGGCTCAAGGGCACCTTTCTCCTGGTTTTGGAGAACTGGTCAGGTGTTCCCCAGTTCTGTTGCTCAGGCGTCTTGGAGCATTTTGAGAAGAATTATGAAGATAGTAGCCATGGTCCATTGGGGGCTTGCCATGTACCAGATAGGAGGTGAAGCCCTTTATGCTTCATCTTACTCAGTTCTTACTACAGTCCTGGGAGGAAGACACTCCTTATCTCCATTTTTACAGTTTAAAATTCATAGTTTAGATGACTTACCCAGAGTCAGCTAATAAGTGACAGACGAGGCAAGATTTGTCCCGAGGTCTGATTACTTAAGCCCATGCTCATAATTGCCAGGCACTTCTGTCTCCCAGGAAATAGTCCCTTGAATCAGCTATTTGCACATAGAAGTGAGTGGCAAGAGCTAAGAGTTAGAATGTGTACCTTATATTTAGATAGTACTTAAACGTCTCTTGGTATTACTTCATTTGACTATCCTATCACCCTCTGGATCAGAGTTACTATCTCCAATTTGAAGATTAGGAATCTAGGGCTCAAGAAGATTACCTGCCCTCAATTACACTGCATTTGAGGGTCCTGGTCAGTAAGGTGGCTAGATGCCCTTGACATATGGCCCATGCTTTCTGATCTGTGACACAAAGATGATGAAAGAAGCAGATGAGTAGGCACATGTGTTTTGCATGGATTAAGCACAAGGGATATGCTTTTTGTCTTTGGCCTTAATGGGTCAGCCTTGGCCTTGTTTCTTCTGCAGCTTGTCTTCAATCTTTATAGTTGAGTCTTGCAGTCTCTCCCACCTGCAGACTCCCACCTGGCCCAATTTCTGAGCCAGCCCTGACCGTAGCTGCATGGGTCCACCCTTCCCTCCAGTCTTGAGTGGGGGGCCGGGAGCCAGCTGACTCAGGTGTACCTGGGCTAGTCTCTTCTCTGAGGCCTGATATTTGCCTCTAGCTGTTCACAGGTAGCCAGTGGCCTTTACGAGCTTCTGGCCAGACCTGGCACGCTTGCCTACCTTGGTTTCTCAGTGAATGAACCTGCCACACTTCACAATAGCATTTGGAGTCTGGTCTAAGATTCAGGTCATCTGGGGCTCGGCACTGACCTGTTTTGGAACTCTGCTGTGCTACCCTCTCCCCTACCTCTCTCTCGGGCAGACAGAGGAATTGGACTTGATCTTGGTACTGAAATCTGGCTTCACATGCTTGGGGAACTTTTCTAAACTAGTTCCAGGGATTTTAGATTCAGTCGATTTCAGCCTCTTCATGCCCTGGGTGTCATGGTCTGACCGGGTAAGGGGAGCCCTGAGGCCTGTTTCAGGCTCTGCTTTCTTCTCTTTGTGTGTTGATGCCAATCTCAACACTGTCCTTCAGTGGAGGTCAGAGCCTTAAACAGGATCCTTTCTCCTCGTGAGGGGAATGACTCTTCACTGTTGGGAGAGACACCTGTTCTCAGCAAGGAAGAGAATCAATTCTTTTTCTGCTATGTATCTCACATTTAGTTTAAAAAAAAAAAAAAATTAGACTCTGCAGTCCATCACACCTCTTCCTCCGGTTTGTCCTTTCCCGTTTGCTTTTGCCCCCCAGGCAACTTTCCTGCCCCTTTTGCCAAAATGCTCACCTCAGGGGTGAGGGGCTACTGCTGTGTCAGTCATAACCTTTGCAATCCATAGACCCTCCATCAGATGTGCATAGGTGTTTTAAAATCAGTCCAAGAAGCAAGCGATTTTGCACCTTATTCTCACTTAAAAAGAAGAAGGAGAAGAGGAAAGGTGTGTTAGAGCCCATCTTCATGGGATGTGGTGTGAAGTCTGGTGAAAAAGTAGCCTATCGGCCTCCTTAGCGCTCAGCCAGGATGTGGGTGTAGGTTACTGTGAGCGAGTCCGGGTTGGTGGCATTCCAGGCCACTCAGATAGTAAAGTTGCTCTTGTTTTGCTTGTTGTTTGTTTTGTTTTTGTTTTTCTTAAGGTGAGGACAGATTTATTACTCTTTTTCTTTTTAAAGCTGATAACATTATGCAGCTAAGTAAATATTTATTTGGAATGAGGCTGTGTGCTTAGCATCAAGGGTATAAAATGTATAAAATAATTTTTGCCCTAGAAGTTTTCATAGACCTACAAAGAGATAATTTCTATGTAACTGGCTAACTGCAAAGCTAAGGGAAGCCCAGGGGATCCTAGGACAGCGTTCTTCAAACCATAAGTCATGATCCATTGGGGAAGTCATGAAATCACTTTTATGGGTTTGACTTATTTTTTTTCAATGAATGAACTAGAACAGAATAGAATAGGAAGGAAAATGAAATATCTCCGTACATCATACTTAGTAAGGTTAAGTTTTATTTTGTGAAACTGTTAGGTGTGTGCATGTGTGTGTGACAAGATGAGTTTCTTCCTGTGAGTTGGAAGTCAAAAAAAGTTTGAGTCACTGCACTAAGAACAGAGAAATGTCTCTTAGTGTCTGTACATTCCATGAAGGCAGGAACCAAGTCTTCTTTTTATCTTAATATAGAAAATGAGGCACCTGGCTGGCTCAGTCGGAAGAGCATGCAACTCTTAATCTCGGGGTTGTGAGTTCGAGCCCCGTGTTGGGTGTAGAGATTACTTAAATATATAAAAAAACTTTATATATTAAGGTATTTTTTTTTTTAAACATACACACAGGGCTTAATACATAGCTGAGCACATAGTATATTCATTGAAGGAAGTAAGGAATAGAAGGAGGAGGAGGAAGGTGATTTCCTAAGGCAAGATTTTGTTTTTCCTTGTTGTGCCTTTTAATACTGCCCGGAGGTATATATACTGCCTGAACTTAAGTGTTACAGTTTCAAGAGTTATGATAAATTCAAACACCCTTGTAACCGATTACATCTCTGTCAAGATAGCGAATATTTCCATTGCCTCCAAAAGTTCCTCTTTTCTCTTCCCAGTCAGTCCCTCACCCCAAGGCAACCACTGTTGTGATTTCTTTCACCATAAATTAGTTTTGCCTGTTGTAGGATTTCACAAAGTTGGGATTTTACAGTACGTACTTTTCGTACCCGGCCTTTGCCCGATGTGATGTTTCTGAGCGTCGCTGCAGCTAGTGCATGTATCAGTAGTTTCCTGGATGATCAAGGCAATAAAAATGGCCCAAAGGACACCTGGGCGACACACCAACAGTTAGGGCAGGAGTGAATGGGGAGCCTGGGTACCTTGGCATTCTGATCTTGACAGGATCCAGAACTTGCTTTAAGACGAGGGATGAATCTTGCACAGTCTGTCGCTATCTGTGTTATGGGCACCATGCTGCCTCCTTCCTCGTGGTATGAGAGTGCAGTGTGTGCTGAGGGCACTGAGGACAAGTGAAAGGAAGTTATTTTTGTCGATGCCTGTACACTGAGATGGGAGTAGCCTTTGACTTCCTTTTATGATAGAGGAAGATTTAAACCTGGACTGTAGAAACCCGCATGAGGCATCTGACATGCACCAGGGAAACCTTGACTTCAGGCCAAAAACACACTCTGAGCTGACTTGACGGAGTCTAAGAACTGTAGGCTCATTGGAATGTGGCTTTCCTCCCCCGTCCTCCTGTGGCTTTCCCAACCCAGGAGCAGATGGATGAATGAAGAACAGGGCATTGTCCGCATGCATAGCTGGGGGCTTGTGCGGACTCCGTACATGGGTAGAGAATCCATGACACCGTGTGCACCCAAGTTGGACACGAAGGAGCGCAGCTTTCTTCATAGGAAATTTTTTTATAAGATTTTATTTATTTATTTGACAGCTAGAGACAGCTAGAGAGGGAACACAAGCAGGGGGAGTGGGAGAGGGAGAAGCAGGCTCCCCACCGAGCAGGGAGCCAGATGCGGGGCTCGATCCCAGGACCCTGGGATCGTGACCTGAGCCGAAGGCAGACGCTTAACCACTGAGCCACCCAGGCGCCCCTTCATATGAAATTTTTTAAAGGGCATTTATTTGTCTCTTCTGTGTGAACTAGAAGTGGATGTTATGAAACACCCATGTTTCTTTTCTAGGCCTTCTCTAGAGTCTCTGGGTGAGGACTGTGAACTAGTAAAGGGTTAATGAGCTGTCAAGTCAAGTCATCACACATCTGGATGGGCTATCATTAAATTCTTATAAAAATTTGATTTCCCCTGAGAGAGTTTTCATCAAACATTTATATAACCCAGAAGGGGCCAGGGGAGCTCGGCATGGCCACGGAACTCCTCAGAAGCCACCGAAAGCATACGTTGTCCCCATTGTGAGGAAGCATAATGCACTGCCTCTCCTCACTGGGATTCTCCTGGGAACAGAGATGAAATAGTCAAATCTCGTCTCCCTAACCCTTGCCAGCAATTGCCTTTTTGCTAAGGCCTCAGTTTCTGGCCGTCGTGCTCGCGGAGATCTGTACATAGCTACGGCTTTGTACAGCCTAGCCCGAGTCTCCCTGGTTGGCTGGAGGCACAGAGGAGCCAGAGGGCACGCTGTGGGTCGGTGGCACAGAGGGGCTACGGAAGAGTTAACATAAATGAGGCAGCAGGCAGCCGGAGAAAGCTCCTGGCCTTCCATAGGCTGTACGGAGTGAGTGAAACGAGGGGCTTCGGTGGCCACGTCTACCCATTTGACTTAGATCGGTATTCAGCCTAAGTGGATGATTCCTGAGAGGTTAGAATCTGTACTCTGGGCATCAATCAGTCCATCCACTGATGTGTATAAAATGCCTATTTTGAGCAAGGCTTCATGGTGGGGGATACAAAGAAGCAATGACACTGCCCAGGCCCGCTTTGACGCTTGTCTTCTGGTTGGGGTGATAGGAAATGGCAAGTCTCAGAGTGCCGGAGTGTGTCCTGTGTCACGTGAGGGCTGGTGTGGTGTGGTCCTGAGTAGAGGCCAAGGTCAGTAGATGCCAGGGTTGCGGGGGTGGCTGGCTTCCCAGAGGCTGGGAATTTGATCTGGATTTTGAAGATGGGGTCCATTTCCAACAAGTGAGAGGAGTGGGAAATATGTCAAGA